ACAGCCCTTAGCAACGAGGATTAAATAATGGTGAAAATATTATTTTAGCTGCATTTAATTGTGCAAAAGAACTAGTTAGTAATTTGAATATATTACCTTCATTAAAGAAATGCAATGCTTGTGAACTTAATGGTTTAAGTAGAAATATATTTGATAGTATTAGATTCAACATTAATTCGGATACTTATTCGGCAACGGATGCAGATTCTTCATCAGATTCTGAATCTGATTATGATGATGAAACAATGGAAAGTAATGAATTTAATAGTGATCTAATCAATGTAAATGAAGAAGATAAAGATACGGCAACGACACAAAGTGTTGATGAAATTAAAACTGAGAAAATAAATTTTACTGGTATGCGTATATTTGATTCGATCAATCCAGCAATGAAAAACTCCTATTTTCAAGTGCAAATAAATAACAAGACTAAATTTATACACAAGCAAACGGCTTGTTGGTTATTAACTGACAAAGCTAGCCGTTTATCGGCTGATAGATTATCACGAGTGATAGAAACAAAAAAAAAAGGATTAAAATTCTTCATCAGATTGATTTGGATAGATAAAGCATTTCTTATAAAAATAAAACACTTCATTCAAAAAGATTCAGTTATTAACTATTACGTTTACTAAGACCAAACAAGCTTGAATTTTTTCCAGAACATTGAAAAAAAACAATAAATAGTTCACCTTTCTGCTAAAATGAAATCGTCGAAAACAAGACAATTTCATTGGTTTCTTATGAGTTTTCATGCACTAAATGTATTTCAAAACTTTCAAAAGAATTCATGAGACTTCATGAGACTTCATGAGATTTCAAGAGACTTCAAAGACTTCAGAGACTTTATGAGACTTTATGATAATTCATAAGACTTCAAAAGACTTCAAGAGACTTCAGAAGACTTACAAGACTTCATGAGACTTCACGGCTGAAGTCTCTGCTGGTTCCCCCTTGGTCCAACCTTCGTCAGTAATTATAGTGTCTTGATTATGTTCATGTGTACCATCAGTAGTCGTTTGCAAGCGTTTGCTAGGGATGCTAGCTTAGAATCAGCATTACATTATAATAGTTTGAAAAATAATACTTTATTTCTTATTATTTTCAAAGGCACAAAACGATTTAT